TTTAAAAAAAGATAAAGTGTAGGTAGCTCATACTTTGATCCACGAAAAACATCCTTCTTGCGTATTGAGAACATTTTTCACGGACCAAAATGTTAATAGTTTGTATAATTCAACACTCTACTCATATTTCTATTATAACAATATTCTCAACTTGCAGGACCCAAATCCATGCTACTCACTTTTTTGAAAATCCATTTTCAATGTGTGTTCAATAGGATTCGATCTGAGTTGATTTGGCAGGATCTGTAAAAACTTTTACTGTACCAAAACCTCGAGGTGTTGGTTGATCATTGAGATTACAATTGTATGCCATCCTGAGCAAATTGAAAGAGATTTTATTTAGAATGAAACTTTCTACAGATTGTTAGCAACAGAAAGTACCAGAGCATTCTTCACCAAGCCGTGGTGAACGGGAAGAGCACGAGGATGTCCATTTTGGGCACGGCCGGTACATCATTGGACGCAGTTGTTGTCCCAGCTCGGCAACTCGCTTGCAGCAAAAGCCCAACAAAATTCAGGGGGATGAAGTATGGGGAGTTTATGGAGTATCAACAGAATAACAGGTTAAACGACAAGTCTGTTTTGGGTCTCCTGTGACTTTGAATCAAAACATTTTTTTTCTGCACGTGTATGAACCCGTTATGATGTTATGAATTTATTAATGTGATGTAACTCATGAATGAATGTTAGGGGTGAAGAAGTGGCGAGAGAAACAGTAGTAAGTTCAGGAGAATTGGCCAGGCAGACTGGCGGTCTACCGTGAGTCACCGGCGGTCAACCGCAAACATGCACAAAGCGCAGTAGGATTCAGAGCTGAAGGCGGTCGACCGTCACGGTCGACCGCGCAAACCCTGTAGGCGATTTAACTCTCGGGATGAGGTTCGGTCGACCGTGGCGATCGACCGTGAGTTTCCTGTAGGATATTTGTTCTCTGTTATTTTGTTCGGTCGACCTGCACGGTCGACTGCCGCGGTCGACCGCGAGTTGTTTTTTGGGCTGGGCTTGGTTTTTGACCCGGTTCATTTGAGAGCTGATATATAACTCTAATTAGAATTAGTTAAGGTTAAGCAATGACGTTTTTTGAGTAGTCTATTGGAAAGAATTACTGCATCTAATTGTAGGAGATTTGTGAGAGATCTAGAGCTTTGTTTTAGGGTTTGATCAGTGATATTTGTAACTTTATTTGTATTCACTTAATTTCTAATAGTAAGAACCCCCCCCCCCCGCGTCTTTGCCCCGTGGACGTAGGTAACTTGCCGAACTACGTAAATAGTTTGTTCCTGCTGTGATTGTGATTTGCTTAATGATTGTGATTTATCTCGAGTTATTATTCGTGTCACCTCGAAGCTTCCGCCACGCACAACAATTGGTATCAGAGTTCCGGGTTGGACTTGAGAGCTTATTCGAAGGATTCACTGTTGGATTCTTATTTGAAAAGTTAGATTGACAACATGGGAGAATTAAGCACATTAGGTTCGTCTCTTACAAAGACGATACATAGTTTGAGCATCAATAACATGAAGATTGATGTCCCGAAGTTCGACGACAAGATCAATTTTGGTTTGTGGAGGTGCCAGGTGATGGATGCGTTGGACACTCAAAACTTGGAAGAGACTCTTGAGTTATAAGAGAAACCTGCTGATATGAAAGAAAAGGTTTGGAAGAAGATGAATAGTAGAGCGTGTGAAGTTATTCGGTCATGCTTGATGCCGGATCTTATTTATGATGTGATGAAAGAGACGTCGGCGAAGAAGATGCGGGAAACACTCAATGAAAATTATTTACTAAGAGCATTGAGAATCGGCTTCACTTGAAGAAGAGGTTTTACCAGTTCAAGATGAAGAGGGGAGTTTTCATCAGGGAGCATGTTAACAACTTCACGAAGCTACTTTCAGACATGACTAATGTGGATATCATGGTTGAGGATGAAGACAAGGTGATGCTACTTTTGTGTTCGTTACCTGAGGATGATTATGGTACCTTTGTTCTTACTATGATTAATGAAAGAATTACTGTTAGCTACAAGGAGGTGACCTCAGCGTTGATGAATTATGAGTTGAGGAAGAGTGTTGATGAGTCCTCCGAGAAGGCATCGGGACATGCATTAGTAGTTCAAGGCTGTGGTTCAAATTGAAGCAGGAAGTCGTAGTCTAGACATGCACATGGAGGGATTCGTAGGAATCAGTGTGCTTTTTGTAAAGAGGATGGACATTAGAAAGCTGAATGCCAAAAGTTAGATCGAGCCGAGAAGAATAAGGGGAAAGCTGTATAAACTTCAGAGGTGAATGTTGTCAAGACTAGTGGCAACAATTCAGATTTGAATTCTTCAGGCTATTCGTTGTCTGCACTACCATCAGTTTGTGTTGCCAACTCTGCAGAGTGGATGTTGGATTCGGGTGCTTCTTACTACGTTTACCCTAGGAGGGATTGGTTCTCTAGCTTTCAAAAGTTAGAAAGAGAGGATGTTGTGCTCATGGGTAATGGACATGCATGCTCTATTGGTGGTATTGGTACTGTTTGGATTAGGATGAGTGATGGGATGATGTGAGAGTTAGATGTTGTAAGGTTCGTTCTATAATTGAAAATGAACATCATTTCATTTGGAGCTTTGGAGGCAGCAGGCTATAGGGTACCTTAGTGGACGCATGCTTGAAGGTCACATTGTGGTCCATGATTGTGATGAAGGACGTCAGAAGAAGCAATTTTTATTATTTGCTCGGAAGCACGGTGATTGATAGGGAGCTGACGACTTTATCAGATTCGGCTAGACTGTGGCGTTGTTTGATGCTGGGTTATTTAATTGGTAATACCATGCATAGGTTGTTGAGGAGTGTTTTGACCTGCAGTTTGAAGTCCTGTGAACCCATTGGTATGAGCAAGAAGATCGGGGTGGAGTTTGACACTTCTATCCATCATTCGAGGGGTCTTCTGAGGGGTATTCATTCAGGCGTTTGGGGCCTTCTAAGGGAGCATTATTGGAAGGTAATAGGTATGTGGTTTTCGTAGTTGGGGATTATTCTAGACATTGGTGGGTTACAACCAAGTCCCATTGGTGTGAAGTCCTAGAAGCCCGCAACAGATGGAGGAAGTGTGTTGATAGAAAGGTAACCCGACATTTTGATTATAGTAGGGGTTCTTTCTTGCATTTGTGTCGCTCACAGCAATTGGAGACACTTCATTGGTGTTGAAACTTTGAGGCGACGTGATGAGATAGCAAATTTGGGGAGCTGTTCCTTGCTGGAGGAGGATTGGCGTTTGATGTCGAGCATTGGCATTGGTGTGTGGGCTACGACATGTTTGGGTCATCTTATGCATATGTTGCTGACTGCTGCATGTAGAGATTTTGGATCTGGTAGAGCTGCTTCAGATTTTGGGTTGTGTCGGATGTTTAGCTACCAAGCACTTGGTCACATCGTGGATGTGAGATTTGATCCGATAGTACATTTGGGAGTCAGAGACGTGTTTGATTATCAGGTATTGGTTTCTGACTTTGTTCTGAGCAGGTATGTCACGTTTGACTCTCGGCAGGTAGAGAGTGGTGATCAGATACTGTATCATTTGGGATTTCAGCTGATGTGACACAGATTATGAATCATGTTGATTTGGATGCAGATGATAGGTTGATCGATTCGAGTGTAGCTGATAGATAGAGTCTGGATATGACCATTGGTTCATCTCAGGTGGAGATGGTTGGATTGTTTCAGTTTGGGGTCATTAGAGGTGCTATCAACCGTAGACTTGATCGTGATGTTGGAGAAGGTTTGCGAACTCTTCTAGTGGATTGAGGCCTTCGGAGGCCATTTGGATGAACTACGTTCGACTTGATTCCTTAGGCAAGAGGATACGTAGGCAGTCTTTCAGATACAGCCGGTTTGATTTCGATGGGGGAAGATCGTGTTCCAGCTCTAGTTTGGATCCCGAACTTGTTGTGGATTGAGTCCATTGTCGTGGGGTGTTTCCACGATGTCCTGGACGCAACAAGTGAGACTATTGGATGATTTGATGTCGGCTCAGTTTTGGTAGAAACATTCGCCGAGGTGGAGAATTGAAGAAGTGGCGAGAGAAGCAGCAAGAAGTTCAGGAGAATCGGCCAGGCAGACTGGCGGTCGACCGTGAGTCAGCGGCGGTCTACCGCAAACATGCACAAAGCGCAGTAGGATTCGGAGCTGAAGGCGGTGGTCGACCGCGCAAACCCTGTAGGCGATTTAACTCTCGGGATGAGGTTTGGTAGATCGTGGCGGTCGACCGTGAGTTTCCTGTAGGATATCTGTTCTTTATCATTTGGTTCGGTTGACCGCCACGGTCGACCGCGATACCTGCACGGTCGCCCGCCACGGTCGACCGCGAGTTGTTTTTTGGGCTGGGTTTGGTTTTTGACCCGGTTCGTTTGAGAGCTGATATATAACTCTAAATAGAATTAGTTAGGGTTAAGCAATGATGTTTTTTGAGCGGTCTTTTGGAAAGAATTGCTGCATCCAATTGTGAAAGATTTGTGAGATATCTAGAGCTTTGTTTTAGGGTTTGATCGGTGATATTTGTAACTCTATTTGTATTCTCTGGATTTCTAATAATAAGAACTCCCCCCTCCTTACCCCGTGGAAATAGGCAACTTTCCGAACCACGTAAATATTTTGTTCTTGTTGTGATTGTGATTTGCTTAGTGGTTGTGATTTATCTCAAGTTATTGTTCATGCCGCCTCGAAGCTTCCGCCGCGCACAACAAGGGGGTGTTGGGTTTCTCGAATTAACCCTTTATAAATCACAGTCATGCACATTTCCATGGCACTTTCCTTGTTAATTTCAATTTATAGAACAGTTTTAATTGATAGTTCTAAATCAACATCATAATTGATAAATTTGCTCAAAATTGATATTCTACTTGCAATAATGTTATCAATTTCAAGATTCCATAATTTGTACTGAAAAGTTTCTGTACCGAAAAGGATTCAAGACATGCCTCAACAAATCCAGTGTAACCTAGTTTTACTGCAGCGCAGGACTCACCCCATTGTCATGGCCATGGCCCCTTCAAACCCTTTGCTATACAACCTTAAGAACCCCAGAGACTCCAGCATAGGCTCCTCCACCTCCACCGTCCCCTCCAGCATGGCCACCACGCTACCCATGCTCGGCCTCATCCATGGCTCCTCCTGCAAGCACCACAACGCGACCTTCACCACTCTCTCCACCTCAGCCCGCCGTCGCTCTCCCTTCCAATCTCCCATCCGGTAACTCCATATACTTCCTTTTCTCATGCATCTCCAATACATATTCGATATCCTGCGACCGACTCTTTCGGCCCCTTACGATCTCCAACAGCACCATGCCGAAGCTGTACACGTCGGACTTGTCCGATATGCCGGTGTTTGTTAGCCACTCTGGCGCCAAGTATCCTCTCGTACCCCTCATCGTACTGAAAAATGTCTCCATAGACTCTCGGCTTAGTAATTTTGCCAGTCCGAAATCAGAGATTTTTACCCTCTTGATTCCTTCACGTTCGTCTAGGAGTATATTTTCAGGCTTTATGTCGCAGTGCACGATTTTGTGCTGGCAGCCAGAGTGCAGGTACGCCAAACCTCGAGCTGTGCCTATCGCAATGTTGAGTCTTTCTGTCCAACCTAAGACAGGGCCAGGCCTGAACAGGGACTGATCTAGAGATCCTCTGTTCATGTACTCGTAGACCAGAATTCGGTGATTCTTCTCGGCGCAAAAACCATAGAGCCTGACTAGGTTGTGGTGGTGGATGCTACCTATTGTTGCGATCTCAGTGACATACTCTTTCTTCCCTTGCATTGACGACGCTGTATCGCTCATTCTCTTTATCGCGACTTGAGTCTTGTCCGGTAGCTCACCTTTGTAGATGTTGCCAAAGCCACCTGAGCCAATCTTAGTGCGGAAATCGTCGGTAGTGTCCACTACCTCGTCGTAGGTGAATCTTGTTGGAAGACCCGGGATGGAAATTTCTTCCAATTCATTGCTTGGTTTAGATGTTGAACTCAACGATTTCAGCCATCCAAAATATACTTCATTTTTCTTTTTGTCTGATTCTGATCTCTGCAATCTGATGAATAGGAGGAGCGTGATGACAATGAGAACGAACCCTGCAGTACTTGAGGAAAGTAGTATCGTCATATTGTTCTTCTTCCTCGCATTCCTCATGTTCTCTGATGATACTGATGTATTATTAACAAACGTTTTGATGTATACATTGGTGTTTATAGGATCAGAAGTGCTGGAAATCGAAAAAGAGCCAAGATAGTACTCGATTAGATAACAGGATCTAGATGAATTTCGATAGGAGAAACCTAAACAATGACATTGGCCAGTGCACAGCTCCTCGCAGGCTTCAATGTCACTACCAATGCTCGTCGGATATGCGAACTTGTTGGCAAAGTATTTGATTTCAGTTCCCAGGCTCAAGTAGGAAGTACTCAGATCACTTGGACACAAAGCAGAGGAGGCGACTATGTAAGAGACATCTGCTGGCGAGCATTTCAGATGCGAAGATGCTGTAAACCGAGCAGGGCAGGTGCAATTCGACCCGCCAGATAAAGCACTGCAAACTCCAAGCGCATTGCAGGTAAATGGCAACTCACAGTCATTGCTCGGAGCGATAAATTCATTCACAAGAGTCCAAGACGAACTCGTGTTGGAAGAATAGCTCTTGATGTGAAGCCGGCCCTCTGCATCCAATTTCAATACTCGAAAATCAGAAGAAGGCAGAAATACCTGGTAGACAAGCTGTTCATTTTTTGATATCAGGTGGAGACCTGTAGAGTTAATCACCATGAAATCTACCTGCGCGGCATTGTGATCCTTGAAAGATCGGAGATCAGTCGACAGGCTCCAGTATTGCTGCGAATATTTCCATCTCATTTCAACATCGTCTGAGGTGACAAGAAGCTGGTAATTTCCTTCTGACTTGTCAATTTCAGAGACAGAACTGGTTATGGCTGATCCGAAATATAAATATTGATCTGATATGATGGTGTCGGTAGGGTGGTGGAAGGACTGCCAGAGGGGGGAGTCGGAGGCGTCATAGAGGATGAGATTGCCGGATTCAAGAAGGTGGAGGGAGTGGACGGATGCAGGGAGGCTCGGCGTCGACCAAGGCGGATGGAGCCGTTGGGGTGGCGGAGGGAGAGGCCGTGGACTGAGAGGGTGAAGTTGGTGGAATTTGTTAAGGGTGAGTTGGCGTTTTGGCTGTCCAGATGACGGTGTTGGTCGGAGAGTGGAGACAGACGAGGTAGTAGTTAGAGGGAGTGGTGGTCGCGCATGGGCTAGGATGAATGCGGCATGGGAGAAAGTGAGGAAGGCGTCGCGCCGCAACCGCAGAGGCGTTGTGAAATTGGGGAGGAGGAGGCCGGTGGCGGAGATGAGGTGGATGAAGATGAGGAGAGTGATGCAAGTGTTGGTAGCCATGACAATGGTACTGAGGCAGAAGAGAATGTAGCGGGACGCAGGTCTGTCTTACCTGGTGTCCTCTGTAATCTTTATGGCAAGGGAACTCAAAATACATAACATCAGTATTTAAAGAGTTTTGTTAATGACTGTGCGCGGCAGCACCAATTCTTAGGCGCTCACTAAACACCAAGGTGGCATGCAGGGGGACTAATCTTGGATGTTCCATGAGCGGCTTAAACCAATCTATCTAATAGGAGGAGACTATATATATGCTACCAAGCACTTGCAAATGAAACGGGAACAGGATGATTTGTGCCACACCATCTTTGTCTACTGGGTTGGTGTATGCCACCTTGATACTCATGGAGCACCTGAGGACTTCTCAATGAAACTGGAGTTGCGCGCAACTTCAGTTGGCCTTCATGCATAGATGATGAGGGCGGAGCCACACAGGAGAGGAGCTTGATGGGATAGCCTGTTGTCGTCGGTTTGGTCTCCAAGTGAGAGATTGTTAGGTTGAAGGTGGATACCAACCTCCGACGGCGGAGGAGCTCCGACGAGATCCAGGTTGTTGCAGGCGAGCGTCGACTCAGCGAATTCGACGACGAACGCGATGGTGGCAATTGGGCGAACGCGAACCCCAGGCGAACGCGATGGTCGTTTTTTGTGTTGACGCGACCCTCGGTGTTGACGCGACCCTCGGTGTTTTTTGGGCACCGACCTTGGCGTCCTGGCCTCCCATGCTCGCGTCCGAGCAGATCGCTGGCGACAGGCTGTCGCCAGCCTGTCATCCCCCTCTATAAATAAGCAACCCCGATGCCTAGGGTTTGTTGCTTTTTCCCTTTTGTTTTTCTCTGGCGGCGGACCTCTTAACGCAGTAGCATTCCCTCTAAAATCGCAGCAGCGATTTTCTTATTTAATCTCCAGCTTTCAACAGTGGTTGAGGGGGATTTAAGAAGAGAGAGAAAAGAGAAGAGGGGGTTTTATTGAGGGTATTAACACTGTAGCTACAGTGTTTGTTTGAGGAATCTCAGTTTAGAGATTTTCTCTTGATTTATAATTTCTTGTTAGATTAAATAAGAAATTGACTGTGTGGCTCCCGAGGACGTAGGCAGTTGCCGAACCTCGTAAATCTTGTGTACTGTTCTCTATTCTACGTTTTCGTTGCATTAGGGGATTTAGGCGTTAAATTCCCAACAACTGGTATCAGAACGTGTAACGATCTAGAGGAAGTCAGATTCAAGTGGGAGCCATGGCCGTAGATGAGGGAAAGGTGAGAATAGAGAAGTTTGATGGATCAGATTTCGGATTCTGGAAAATGCAGATAGAGGATTATCTGTATCAGAAAAATTTGTATCAACCTCTCTCGGGGAAGAAGCCGGAGGGTATGAAGGAAGAAGATTGAAATCTTCTGGACAGAAAAGCCCTCGGAGTTATCAGATTGACATTAACTCGCAATGTTGCGTTCAACATAGCGAAGGAGAAGACCACGGCGGGTCTTATGGCAGCACTCTCAAACATGTATGAGAAGCCATCAGCCGGAAGGTGCATCAGTAGCACATCATCTCAATGAACTCAATACAGTCACGACCCAATTGAGTTCAGTTGACATTGAGTTTGATGAGGAAGTTCGGGCGTTGATACTTTTGTCTTCCCTACCAGAGAGTTGGAACGCTATAGTCACGGCAGTGAGTAGCTCATCGGGGAAGAAAAGGTTGAAGTTCGACGACGTTCGTGATCTGGTTCTCAGTGAGGAGATCCGACGGAGAGAGTCGGGTGAAGCTACAACCTCTTCAGTATTGCATACAGAGTCAAGAGGTAAAAGTTCAACCAGAGGAAATGGATCAGATGATAGGAGATCCAAATCCAAAAATCCCAACAGTTCGAAGGCTATCGAGTGTTGGAAGTGCGGGAAAACCGGGCACTACAAGAATCAGTGCAGGAGTGCACGGGAGGAGTGGGAGGCAAATGCAGATGTGAATGTTGCCTCCACCTCAGGAGGAGATGATGCGCTGATATGCTCTTTGGAGAGCAAGGAGGAGTCTTGGGTGTTGGACTCGGGAGCATCATTCCATGCTACTTCTCAGAAAGAATTCCTCGAGAAGTATATCCCCGGAAACCTTGGAAATGTATATCTTGGTGACGATCAAGCATGTGCCATTATTGGCAAAGGTGTAGTGAAGATTAAGCTGAATGGGTCAGTATGGGAGCTGAAGGATGTCAGGTATATTCCCGACCTGAAGAGGAACTTAATCTCAGTAAGCCAGCTGGCTAGTGAAGGCTACACGATGACTTTCCATGGCGATGACTGGAGGATTTCGAAGGGCGCAATGACGATTGCCAGAGGCAGGAAGACTGGTACCCTGTATATGACAGCGGGTGCACGTTGTTCGATCTCAGTTGCGGCAGGCAATGAGACTTCAAAGCTATGACATCAGAGACTCGGTCATATGAGTGAAAAGGGGATGAAGGTTATGCACACAAAGAGAAAACTCCCAGGTTTACAATCAGTAGAGATTGATATGTGTGAAGAATGCATACTTGGAAAGCAGAAGAGAGTCAGCTTTCAGATAAGTGGCAGACCCCCTAGGAAGCAGAAGCTAGAGCTTGTTCACTCAGATGTTTGGGGACTAACAACCACCGCGTCGATTCGTGGGAAACACTACTTCGTGACTTTTATTGATGATCACTCTCGGAAAGTATCGTTCTACTTTCTGAAGAAAAAGTCAGAAGTGTTTGAGGCTTTCAGAAGATGGAAAGCCATGGTCGAGAATGAGACCAGTTTGAGGGTAAAGAAACTCAGAACAGACAATGGTGGTGAGTATGAAGACATCAGATTCAAGAAGTTCTGCTATGAGCACGGTATCAGAATGGAGAGGACCGTGCCCGACACGCCTCAGCACAATGGTGTGGCTGAGCGCATGAATAGAACGTTGACAGAGAGAGCCAGAAGCATTTGGATGCAGTCAGGTCTACCGAAGCAGTTCTGGGCAGAAGCAGTCAACGCAGCAGCTTACTTGATCAACCGAGGTCCATCGGTTCCATTGGAGCACAGAATACCAGAAGAGGTATGGTGCGAAAAGGAGGTAACCCTCTCACATCTCAGAGTTTTCGGTTGTGTAGCTTATGTGCATATAAGTGATCAAGGCAGGAATGAGCCTGATCCCAAGTCCAAGAAATGCACATTCATCGGGTATGGTGAAGACGAGTTCGGCTACCGCATTTGGGACAACGAAAACAAGAAGGTGATCAGGTGCAGAGATGTGACATTCAATGAGAAGGTGATGTACAAGGACATGCACAAGACAGATGACGGTGACTCAGAGAGCGAGTCAACATTTGTAGATGCAAATGATGTCCCAGATAATCTCTCGGAAGAACCCAATGCAGAACGTCCTCAGCCAGAAGAGCCTGTTGGACAGAACGGTGCGCAGGAACCCGACGCACCAGCTCTAATATTGAGGAGAAGTACTCGTCCTCCTGTGCCTAACAGCAGATACATGAATTATATGTTGCTGACAAATGGAGGAGAGTCTGAAAGCTTTGATGAAGCTTGTCAGAGTGGAGATGCGAGCAAGTGGGAGTTTGCTGTGAAAGAAGAGAAGAAATCTCTGATCTCCAACCAGACATGGGGACAAGCTGAGTTGCCCATAGGGAAGAAGGCACGTCACAATAAGTGGGTGTATCGAGTGAAAAAGGAGCAGAATGGTTCTAGAAGATACAGAGCCCGACGAGTTGTCAAAGGATTTCAACAGATTATCCAAGGAAGAAAGGATCCAGCGGATATGTTGACAAAGGCTGCGCGCAACTTCAGTTGGCCTTCATGCATAGATGATGAGGGCGGAGCCACACAGGAGAGGAGCTTGATGGGATAGCCTGTTGTCGTCGGTTTGGTCTCCAAGTGGGAGATTGTTAGGTTGAAGGTGGATACCAACCTCCGACGGCGGAGGAGCTCCGACGAGATCCAGGTTGTTGCAGGCGAGCGTCGACTCAGCGAATTCGACGACGAACGCGATGGTGGCAATTGGGCGAACGCGAACCCCAGGCGAACGCGATGGTCGTTTTTTATGTTGACGCGACCCTCGGTGTTAACGTGACCCTCGGTGTTTTTTGGGCACCGACCTCGGCGTCCTGGCCTCCCATGCTCGCGTCCGAGCAGATCGCTGGCGACAGGCTGTCGCCAGCCTGTCATCCCCCTCTATAAATAAGCAATCCCGATGCCTAGGGTTTGTTGCTTTTTCCCTTTTGTTTTTCTCTGGCGGCGGACCTCTTAACGCAATAGCATTCCCTCTAAAATCGTAGCAGCGATTTTCTTATTTAATCTCCAGCTTTCAATAGTGGTTGAGGGGGATTTAAGAAGAGAGAGAAAAGAGAAGAGGGGGTTTTATTGAGGGTATTAACACTGTAGCTACAGTGTTTGTTTGAGGAATCTCAGTTTAGAGATTTGCTCTTGATTTATAATTTCTTGTTAG